TAGAACTGTGGCATTCCTGCCCGTGCTGTTTCAGAGGAAAGCAGCCTCTTGGCTAGCAACCGGGACTCTATCTGCTGCATTACCAAGGGAGTTACCCAGCAGGGGGAGGGTCCTGGCAAATAATAGTGTTTTTACCTCTAAAATGTGCTCTCTGACTCTGTAAGAGGCGAGAGCAGATAAAAACAAACTCCCAGAGAAGGGCTGGAGAAAGGTGGAAATGCTGAATGCAATTTTAACAAAGGGGAATGGGAACAGACTGCACGGTGCAGTGGTTAGGAACCCTGGCTTGGAATCTGAAAGATTTGGGACTCTGCAACTCAGCGTGTGACCTTGGAGAAATTACTGAACCATCTCCTGTGACTAAAGGAATCTGTTTCCTCCTCTGAAAACCGGTAGTAACAACAGTTTTCTCCCCAGGGTTGTTATGAGGCTTGCATGAGACAAGTGAAGGGCACAGCACCTAGGGCTGGCACTCTTATTATTCACCAGTCTGCCTATCTCTGCACATCGTTTTACAACAATGTTATCGGACAACATTTACCAAGCACTTACTACAACCAGGCACAGTGCTGAGCTCTGGGTTTCATGGGAGAATTAAGTAAGTCTTAGAATGACTATGTTAACAAATATATCAACAATATAACATAAACAAATTATATTAATAAATATATTGGGAGTATTAGTACTCGGATCATTACAAGGATAATGAGAGAACACCTGCCGTGAAGGGTTTAGTACAGTGCCTGACATACATAAAGAACTCACGCGAAGGTGGATATCAACATGAAGAACAAGTCCCAAGCAGGAGGGTGACAGGGTTAACATGCAGGGTTTTCCCCTCCCCCATTTCACCACGTCCTATGCTACCAGCTCTCATATCCCTGGCCAGCTCCTACCTCCACCAGGAACTTGGCTCTTCCAAACAACTATGGAAGGACCCAGCAGCTCAAGAGCTTGAAGGTTAAGGTGATGAAAATACAGAAAACTGGTCAGGCTAGCCATTACCCTAGTGAGTAGCAGCAACCGGAAGGAAGCCTGCTTGGTCCGTGCTCTTTCCTAATCTAGATGATGGCCACGTGGACGCGTTCACTTTGAGGAAACTCAATTTCTAAAATTAAGATTTGAACACTCTTCTGTACAAATGTTACAATAAAAAAAAAAAAAGTTAAAAATAGTGACTGCCCTTCTCCAACATCCAAAGCACAGAGCAGCCCTTCTCGATGGGCATGCCACACTCAGGTGGTGGGCGCGCCACTCAGGTGGTGGGCACGCCAGGTCAATCACCTGTGGCAGTGAGCAGCCTCCTCAGTTTACCCACCAGGGAGCTGTAGAATTACCAGCATTTTTTTTTTTTTTTTTTTTTTTTTGGTAAAATTGGAAAGTAGTGCTCTAGAGTACCAAATGACAACATCCTCCCCAATCACACGAGTCTACCTTAAGGTTTTTCCTATCTAAGGTCAGTTTTATTGACTCAGTTTTTAATGAGATTGTTTCATCTTCTCCAACAAGAGTATACCACATTTATGGGTCAACACTTCTAGACTGCTCTTTACAAAACTGAGAGCCTGTCTTTGACATCATTCCATAGCTTACTCTTCATAACAAGCAAATATCTAGTAACAAGCAAATATCCCTCCCTCTTTCCTTTCCCCACAATCGCTGGGGGGGCGGGGGGAACACCTAAAATAAATTTCAATCATTTATCAAGTCAATGGATATAACACAGACTACATGCTGGTTTTCTCTTTGAAAGTTTATTGTTATTAAAAAAAAAAAAAAAAAAACCTATACTTGTTACATTTTACATTCACCTCTCAGAACATTTAATGATACCAGTTAATGATGATATATAAAAAGCCCACCAGCTGCTTGAAATGGCTGCAAGTTTTTACCATGTACTGGTATTAAATTGGTTTGAACTCTTTGGAAAAATTGGTGTAACATTAAGTACCAAGATTTCAAATTCCCAGATTAGAAACAAGATTTTTAAGTCAGGAGGAAATTTAGTAAAAATTCAAGGCTAAAAGGAAATGTTAATAGAGAAACAAAAATACTGTAAAAATAGGATTCCCCCCACCCCCGTTAGGTTAAAAAAAAAAAAAAAAAAGCAACCAACCCCACCCCACCCCCAATATTTCTCTTAGAAAAGTCACCCAATCCTGAACACAGGGTCTCACACACAAATACAAGTAGCTTGATTTGTAGATCAGCTTCTGGGATCTTATACTAGCCCCAGTTTGGAGTTTTAAAAAAAAATTAAGTTAGGTAGTTACAGGTCCATAAATACTGGTATCCAAACGAATGAAAACATCCTGGCTTTGGTATGGCTACAGAAATCTGGAAATTGTTCAAGAGGACACTGGCTTTGGAAGAGAGGGAGTGAGAGGGTAGGGAAGGCAACACAAAGCCCCCAAGCGGAGGTAAAATAAATACTGGGACACATCCATAGCAAACACTGTGTATAAGACTGAGGCAGGTGCCTCAAACAAAAAACACATACACGTTCTTGATCAGATTAACACATGTACAGGTTCTTCCTAAGAGTTGTCTAGACCAACCTTTTTCAAAGTATTATCTGCAAGAAACGGTCTGAATTGGGGAATGCACGTGGTACCCTATGGTCTGGTGAGAGAGAAAGACCTTCTGGAATAAGAATGGCCACCCGGGCTAAAAGCCAGCCCCTTGTTAGTCCAGGAATATCAAAATCTGTTTTGTCCACCACAAAAGTACCTCCAACTCCTAACAAGGGGGCTCTGCTATCCCTGGTCACCACAGGGGCCTGCTAGAGGGATTGAACTGCTGGCTTTTCATCTCTGGGGTGATAAACTCTTCTGGGATTAGGAGTATAATTTACTGTGCTGTGTCTCAAGTCTATTCCCTACCTGCCCCCATTCCCACAGTCATGATTAAGGATTGTGAGGATACTGAGGAGCAGAAGGCAGTGATGTGGTCAAGGCCAGAGCACGGCCTCATCACCCTAAAATTTATAGAAGAGAAGAAGCCAAAGTGCCCATTCTCTGGTCTTCAGATGAACAGTTACTTCACAAAAGCACAAAGGTGCCACCAGAGAAGGCAAGGGAAAAAAAAAAAAAAGTGACTTGTTGCTTTGATGCTGAAATCCCCAGTAGTTATCAACACAAGGCTTTCCAAAAAAAAAAAAAAACAACTTTGGTGTACTGCTAGGACGCCAAGTAAGACAATCATTCAAAAAAACCCACTCTGATGACCACATACACTATAACTAAATTTCCATCACAGGGCACTAACGGAGAACAGACTGCTATTATGGGACGTCACACACACCACGGGGACAACTCCAGCAAGAGAGGCCCTCTCGTAGAGCAAAAGCTGCCAGCAAGAAACAAGAGAGGAAGGCCCTGTTTACTGTGGACTTGGTTCACCCCAGGAATCATCATGATGGGGGCTGCGGGCAGAGAAGAAGCACAGAACACCCACCCAGGCAACTCTAAATAAACAAGCATCATTTACCCTATTATCTAAAGGAGACTCCAACACCAGGGGGAAAAAAAATGAGAGAAAAAAAAAGAGTTATAAATTAAAACAAAAATCTGTACAAGTCTTGACTCAGTCAGTAAGGTTTGGTCTCTGTTGAAGCCAGGACTTAACAAGAAGGTGATTCACTTGTTATCACGGCCCCCCAACTTGCTTTGGGGTATATGCATCAAGAGACGACACAAAGAGAATCACCTGAGACCGAGGGCATGACGTACAAAGATTTCCTAAGATGCATAAGGTGTACTGATTTCCCACAGAGAGGCTAACAGTTGCTGTAACCCCAAATTCTTTACATATCCTACGGTGGCAGCTTAGAAACCAGAAAAACCCATCTGCCAGCAAATCCCCTCTCCAAGGCTGGAAATGAGGGGCAGGCGGCAGGGAGTACGGGGAAGGCCATTTCCCCAGGATTCCTTCGGTGAGTGGCAGCCACGGCAGAGCTCCTTTGTCTTCAGCGTGGTGGGCCAGACCTCCTGGGAGGCTGGGGCGACGACAAGGCTCCACAGGCTCGAGACACAGTCCGTGTGCAGTAACAGCCTCAGCGACAAGAGTGCGCAAGTGGAGTTGTAAGTGAGAGTCTACAGATCACTGACGACTGCCCAGTCAGTCTCCCCTCCCCACCCACAACAGATAACCCAGATAATCAGCCTGCGCCAGGTACCACTTCATCTCCTTGAGCAGGGAACAGAAATGAACTGAGATAAAAACTTCCGAAATGACCCCTTGTTCCAGCTTGAGCTAGAACAAATATGTCTAAATAAACCACTTGCATTAAATAACATTTAAAATGCGGTACCTTCAGCACATTTTGGAGCATGAGATGTCCCCTCCCCCAACCCATTTACTTCAGTGCACGTAGCCACCCAGGCAAATTTTTCTGTCGCTCAGCCAGTGGAATGGATGGCATTTGCCAGATGTTACACAAGGCATTTATTTCTCAGAGAAGGCTGAGAGCCAGGAGAATTAATCTCCTCCTGCTAGGACCTCTGCCCCAAGCTTCTGGGGAAACGGTGAATTGGGCTCAACAAGGGAAAGAGCTATGTGATCCACTCATCAGATTCAAAACATGAAAATGCAATGTAGAGTGTATCCCTTCCTGGTAGAAAGACCTAAAGACAATTTAAAAAAAAAAAAATGTCCCTTAAACTCAAAGGAGGCTTAAAAAAAAAAGACAACGTACAAGCAAAAAAAAAAAAAAAAACAAAACCCCAAAGAAATGAGTAAATCGGACTCGCAACACTCCCCAAATCAAGAGTTCATGGTGACGGCTGGCCGGAAGAGGTCGAGGCAGGAAGGAGCAACGCAAAGACCGAAGTGGCTGCCACACAGCGCCTCGCAGAATCCACAACAGCGCTCCCCAGTTTCCAAGGCCAAGGAGCAATTCCCGGGTTAAAAACTTTCTATTTGGAAGAAAACCAAACCAAAAACCACTCCAGAAAAAAGGTCAAGGGAAGAAGAACACTGTAGAAAGTCAAGCCGCTGACCTCCGGCGGATCACAAAGAGCCCGCGCTGAAGCTGGCCCAAGTAGATCCTCATCTTGGTGCTGTCACTTGTCTTCCTCACCCAGATCTGCAGGGGAGAAGGAAAGGGAACAAGATGAGAGCGGCTACAGCGAATACTGAGGAGCAAACCTTCCAGAGCATCAAAACATCTGCACGAATGAGGTGGGGGCGGACAACTGGCGACCTCCTCCTGTCAGGCGGTGGGGGCCCCCCCACAGGAAACCCCTCTACTGTAGAGCAGGCATCAGCCCCGGACCTCTTTTCTCCTTCCTTCTCCCTCTCGCACACCTCTGATTAAGAAAATGGAAAGCACAGTAATCTCAGGTTCTATTTTTGCCTTGATCTTACGGACCTTTTTTTTTTTTTTTTTTTGGTTTGATTACAACATTATCAACATTCAAAATACATATATTCATGAATATAAACTTTCAACCAAATTTGGAAATATTTTCCTTGCCCCAAGAGACTTCCATATCATAGTCTTTCACTGCTCTGGTTTCCTGGCAATTAAGGCTAATGGTCACGGCAGAAAAAGAAGGAAAAAATAACAAGGAAAAAAAAAAAAGCCCATGAGTGAGCTAAAAGGCCCAATTAGGATCATCAGAAGGCTAAATTAGCTTAAGACAGCCCTTCCCTCCCGAGCATATCTTTTTCCCACAGATGGTATCAGATGTCTGAGCCATCATTTTACAGGGCAGATGCACTCTTGCATAGAATGGAGAATCAACTCTGGCAGCAGGGGGACTGCAAAAGCAGACGAGGGCACTCAGTAAGTGTTATCTCTGTGGCCAGGACTGGGAAGAAAGCCACCTCCTCAGTCACCTGATACACCTGAGCTTTTTCATCTTCAGGACAACCCTATGAAGTACTATCCTCACCCCATTTTATAGAAGAGAAAGGCTGAGTCAACTTGTCTGATGCGAATCCTGGTGCCTGCTCTCAAAACCCCTGGCTTGCTCTTGTCCACTAACCCGGCCCTGGCTCTTCTCACCCATTCTTCATCCATTTAATTAATGTGCAATCAGATGGGGCCAAAAGCATGATTCTTTTAAGTTCTGCGTCTCACCCACATATGCAAGTAGGAGTCTACAGACCTATCTTCTCCCTCCCTCCCTCCCCCATTCAGTTTTCAGGTTTTAAAAGTGTTTGTTCTCAGTCTCAATTCCTTTAATGTGATTGTTTAGCAACAGACTTTAAAGTCAAATACACTGGTTTAAAATTAAAGACCTCACATGAAGCTGAGCCTCTAAGGACCTTGCATAAGCAATTTTTTTTTTTTTAAGATTTTATTTATTTATTTGAGAGAGAGAGAATGAGAGAGAGCACAAGAGGGAAGAGGGTCAGAGGGAGAAGCAGACCCCCCGCTGAGCAGGGAGCCCGATGCGGGACTCCATCCCGGGACTCCAGGATCATGACCTGAGCCGAAGGCAGTCGCTTAACCAACTGAGCCACCCAGGCGCCCAGCAATTTTTTTTTTTTAATAGAACTTTTTTTTTTCTTAAGATTTTATTTACTTGACAGAGAGAGACAAACCAAGAGAGGGAACACAAGCAGGGCGAGTGGGAGAGGGAGAAGCAGGCTTCCTGCCGAGCAGGGAGCCCGATGCGGGGCTCGATCCCGGGACTCCAGGATCATGACCTGAGCTGAAGGCAAATGCTTAACACTGAGCCACCCAGGCGCCCTGCAGAAGCACTTTAAACTGAAAAATGACTCTAAGAATAGCTGAAGTGGGGAGTCACCAACAGCCTCAGACTCACCCAACAAATGTGCCTGGAGTCAGGTTGTGCCAAGGCCAACTAGCTCCAGCGTCACTTAGGATTTGACCTGAAAAACCCGCTAAAATCCTTCCAAGAAGTGAGAAATGTTTTGCCATCACCAGAGTTGCATGCCTCTGATGCACTGAGGCTTCTCCCCTTCAGGTGAAATGTCTCAGTGTCGCCGTTCTCTTGTCAGACCTCCCTGACACTCTATTATGTCAAAGGATGACAGTCTTCAACAGAGAGAAAAAAGGTAACTTGCATTTCTATTTTTCCTGAAAAATCTTAAGGTGTCTCCAAGGAGGATGAGGCACTGGTTGTGAAGTTAGGTTTGGGTCCTAGGAGACCACATGGCCAGACACGAGGGCTCTGCTGTGAAGTCACAACACCTCTTGCTGAAAAACAGCAGGTCTCTCCAACACATCCCCTGTTCTGGTTCTGACTTGGCTTGGGGTGACTCACAGACCCCAAGTCCACAGAGAAAGGACATTCATTTATCTGGAAGGCTCTCCCTAACTTCTGAGTAAACAATCATTTTGCAAACTAGTCACATTTGAGGGCATTTTCAATTCAGGAAGCTAGGAGAATGGAAGAGGCTTAAGTTATTTCATAATCCAGTTTCATTAGATTTACTGTGCACTGGCACGAGTAAGTTACAGAGGGTAGACACATAAAAATCAATTTCTTTGCAGACATTCGTGGACTGATAAAAGATCAAGCCAATCGAGCTATTAAAGTTTTAAACTTTTTTAAAACTACTAACAAGTTACACACTGCTGACATCCCCCCCCCCAATGAAGGGCCCGTTGGACAAGTCACTCGCCAGTCATCCTATCCTGGAGCCTAACCCTCCGAGCTGCCTTTAGAACCAGTCGCTACAGGTTCTAAACAGGAGAGACTCAAGGATACCAGTAGCTGAGGGCCAGAGCCTGGCAGCTCACTGCTGAGAGGCATAACAGGACGAGTCACATTGTAAAGACAGCAGGCAAGGAGTAGTGTGTGGCTCAGATCCGGCCAGCATCCATTTACTGAGCACTTACTGTGTGCCAGACCCTGGGCCAGGTGCCTCATTAAATCCTCACAGCACAAAACCAATCTCTCAGTACAGACGAAAGCTCTAGAGAAACAACAAAGATGGAGTACGCTCCACAAGCAAGTTCCGTGGTCGGTACACAGGTACCTTACAAAGCAGCAGGATTTGAACACACAGGTATCACGCAGACTTGCCTTCTGCTCTTTCCTGTAGTCTCCCTCAGTCATTCCCAACTCAACTGCTGTATGTGGAGTTCACCACCACCACCAGGAATATACAAATCCACATTAAGTTGTTAGTCAAGACAAGTAAGGGATTTCCAGGATATTCTGTCTCCATGCGATTTCTGCCAGGAAGTGCTGACCGAGATCCTAACCCGCACAGGACACACGGTTCCACGGTACGTTCTCAGTGGCACTGCACTGCAGGTTTGTCACACTTCGCTCCCCTGAGGGGGGAGGGAGTTCAGCCCCTACCTCATTGGCTCCGACAGAGCTGATCACACAGCTCAGCTTCTGGTTGTCCTTCGACTCCAGGTAGATGGCCTGGCTCTTGTGGTACCTGCCAAAAAACAAGACCCAAGTTTATGTATGTCTTTAGCCACTTCATCAAGGTAAGACCGACATGCTGAAAAAAGCCACACATATTTACTGTTTGTAACTCGGTGAGTCTGGGGTAAGTATATACACCCATGAAATCATCACCACCACGAACACACCCATCTGCTCCCAAAGTCTCCTCCTGCCCTCTTCATCAGAATTATTTGTTGTTTTTTCTTTTGCAGGAAGAACCCTTCACAGAAGGGCTATGCTCTTAACAAATTTTAAGTCAATAATACAGTATTGTTAAAGGCACCAGTTTTTAAAAAGAAAGGAGAAAGGGGAAGAAAGGAAAACACCACAACAAAGAATATAATTGAAGGAGTCTTAATTTACATTTGATGAAGAGTCTGGATTTCAAGTTTAATTTGAAGGCCTCCACCCTTCGATTAGATCAGATGACCTCCTAATCTTCTCCTAATCTAAAACTTATATTCCTTGGTCCTTCCTGCAGAGGGAAAAGGGAGGCGGGGGAAAGACTGGCAAGCAAACTCCATGCTTACTTTTTATTTGGACTATATACCCCAATTCAATCAAAAAGTAAATTATAATTTTTCAAAATAAAACCTGTTCCCACTTTCCACGCATCCCAAAACACTGAAGAAGCTTGGGTGGGCAAAATAAATAGCAGGGTTTGAACAACCAATCTATTATTTATTTTCAATACGTCCAAATTAAGTCATCCACAAGACGGCAGGCCAATTTCAACTCTTTCTTTGGTTACTCATTCAGCAAATACTCATTAATCACTTACTGTGCAGCACTGAGGATGCTGGAAGTCGGAGGTGGACAGTGAACAGGACCACAAGGTCCCTGCGATCACACAGCTTCAAATACAGCAGCCGTGAAGAATACTGAGTAATCACACCTGGCAAGCACTAACCAGGCGAGGTTCGGAGTGTCAGGGTGTGCACCCCGGGGGGTCTGATTTGACCTGGTCAGTCGGGAGAGCTGCCTTACATGGAGCAGACCAGACACTCCATTTCGGCCCTAGTAGCCATCCTCTTGGCCTGTAGCACAGGACCAGCTTCAACTTCTCCAAGTTCAGAGGTACGGCCGAGGATGAAAGTGAGGAAGCCAGGGCCAAAGCCCAAATGAGACAAGAGCAGCTCCACAGGATGAAGGAGCAGCTGCTGGGCTACAAGAGCTGGAAACACGAGCCAAGCTGCTGCTGGAAGCCCCGGCCGGGGCCAGCCCCAGTCAGGCAGGAACATAACCTCCGCTTCATTCTGGCTGCACAGATCTGGCTAAAGCAGACGCACTAACTCCCACAAATTCTACCAAAATGCATCTCCTAGCAAAGTACTGCATGTTATCATTATTTCGGGGCGGGGGGGGCAGGCAGACTGTTTTGCTGGTATAATAAATAATCTACTGCCAGGATATCACAGTAAAGAGATGTACTTCACTCCCACAATGAGCTTTTTCAATCTAGGTTCTAAGCACTCTTTAACCTGCTACTTAGGAGCTGAAAACTCAGGTTTCCAACTCACTTTACTTCCTGAAAACACTGTTAAAAGAAATTGAATCATAAATGCAATTAGAACAGCGAGATTGGTTTAGACTCAGCTTTAAAGCTGCTTTTGGCCAGAGATCAGTTGGTAAACTGGGTCAGGGGACCTTCATTATGCTAAATATGTAATATCACAAGGTCTGAAGTATACAGTGCATGAGGAAAGGCTGAATTAGTTCACAGCGTGACTCAAAAATTCCAGTTGCCCTCCCACATCTAAGCCAACTTCCTATGTAAATAATAACATCTTGAGTGATAGAGTAAAATTACAGAGCTGGAGAACATGGGGACTGTGAGTTATTAAATAATGAGATAAAGACAAAAAGCATGCACCTAGCCTCAAGTCATTCTGATACTATTTCCTGAATACTTTAATAAAGAAAGGTCACAGTGTGGTGAAGGAGTATGTTACTAGTGTAGAAACAGGCTCAATATACTGCTAAGTGGAGGGGGGAAATCTATGTCCATTACATTCCTGTGCTTGTAAAAAAACATGTTATATGTGCATCATACACACACAGAAAAAATTGGGTAAAGTTATGTAGTTAAGATGTATAATAAAACATGTATTACAACTTTATAGAAATATGAAATGTAAATTAAGAAAGGTATTCTTTTCATTGCCTGGCTTTTTTTTTTTTCTGAAATAAGCAGGTTATTACTCATATTAAAAATTAAATAAGTCACGGTTCTGGAAAATACCTAAATAACAAAGATGGGTAAAAACAAAACTTGATGTTACAATTAACATCTTAATGTCTTCAAGGACAACAGCTAACTCTGGGAGACTAGTCTAACAATTCTCATGAGATGTGCTGCATTTTCCTTCAGATGTGTACAGAACCCAAACCCCAACACCTATGACTGGCTTGAAATGAATACCGGAAGTAACAATAAGATCTGGTCTATTACCACCCCACCTCCCCCGGAGGTGGTCTGGCCACCTCCCAAATCTGCCTGCTTTGCGGTAACCAAATGGTGGTGGCTTGATTGTCCACCATTGGTCCCTAACTGCTCCACAGCTGAGCTGGCCTGCGTGCTTCCCAAAACAACCCACTTCCAAGCCAACGGAATCTCAGATCCTCCTGAACCAGATTCTCACACACCACACAACAGTCTTGGGGAACTGTTATCCCTGGATATCAAATCTATTCAACTATCTGAATTCTCTGGGGGAAAAAAAAAAAATCCTCAGAAATTAGCATTCATATTTTCAAGATAAAACTAGTAAGTATAGGACAACCTTAACATACAAATTTACTTTTTAATTTCTAAACACTAACAAAAGGGGGGGGAGAGAGAATTCAAAATAAACAGACATAAAAACTTAAAAAGCAACAACAGAACTAAAAATGTACATTATCATTTTTTGCCAATTAACCCATTTTATAAGCTGCAACTCATCTCAGATGAAAAAAATACTTTAAATAGCCTCAGAGAACAAGCCCCAAAAGTCAAACTGACTTTATTACTTTATCACTAATGGAACTCCTGACCTGGGAATCCCAATAAATGAGCTCTTAGAGCTCTGCTTCTACTATTAAACCCTATGAACTAGAATCAACAGTACTATTATGGAAGAAGGCAATTTCTTCAGAAGGTGGGTCAAAAAGGAGAGGGTAGAATTAATTTAATTTTGTATCCTACTGGGAATCCTGATATTAACGTTTCATTTCCCCCCCCCCCCAAAAAACTGAATACCATGTTACAGCTCTGGAACCTCAAGGAGTCCCAATGCCAGTTGTAAATATTCACCGTCTTAACAGTCTTTGTCAGTCGAAGGCTGGGGGGCGGGGAGGACTTCATTCCTGATTGACATTAGCAGCCCGAGAAAGTGAGGAGAGATAAACCAGTCTGCCCGCACCATCAGTTAGTTATTTTAAAATATCAGCTATTTTCGCGGTACTTTTAAGGAGGGTCATTAGTCCAAATCAAAATGTGAGGAAAACTTACAGCAGGACATAAAATGCCTTAAAACCACTACCAGACCAAGGCAAAGTGAAGATGCTATCTTTCAAAACGAAATGTAGCTTGCTAAGTGTTCATGCCAAGACGGGAAGCCTGAATCACACTCATTTTTCTTAAGGCATTTAAAACTCAATGAAACACGTTTTGCCAGAAGTACCGTTGCACCCAAATATTCCATACCACTGGGAAGAGCATAAAGTGGTTCACTTGCCCTCTCAGCCACAGGCCGTGATTGGCTAAAAAGAAGGAAGAATGAAAGCCTCCCAACTGACAGGACACAAAGGCTAAACCTCAAGTTGAGCCTGGTGAGAGATGAGGGCAGCTATGCACTGGTCAGAACGTGGGCCAGGACCCCCATGAACACCTTCCAAATGTGGCAAGGAAAGGAGAGAAACACCTTCCCACAAAGGTGTCGTCAACTCTGACTGCCAAGGCTAAAAGGAAAAACACAATACAGATGAAAACAACAGTCTCCATATTCAACAACATGCAACTTGAAATTCACTGAAAAAGGAAAATGCTCCCAGAGACCTTCTTTTTAAGTTTCTGCAGCCCCTATGAAAAAGACAGCGCAATTCACTCAAAATGCTCAGGAGGTCTAGCAGAGCAAAAGTGACCACTCTATTTACGTTATGAAACACCAGGCACCGTGGATCCCTTCTTTGGAAAAACAAGAATTTTCTCTTATTGCATTTTCACCCTCAAGGCAAGTCTCATAAAGTCTAAAAATTAAGCCTCAGAAAGATCTGAACCAACACAATTACAAAATGAACATCATTTGAAATATCACACAGCTTTAAGACTCACAGATCCGTAAAAATGTTAGTGATAAATCTCATCGTTTTTGAAGACGGCTCTTATGTGTGGGCTTGATCTTTAAAGGTTATTTGGTTTTCATTATTAGAAACATTTTTCATCTTATTCTGCCCCTCAGTGAGTTGAGCTGTTAGGGCCTGCCACCTAGTGGCGATATGCTGAGAAGCAATGTCAAGATACACAAACTGGCCTTTTTGAAGAAAACCAAATAGTCAAATGAGAGGGGCAGAAGTCACTAAGATCAGTCTCATAGGCAGAGGCGGCCTTCACCATCGACTGAGTAATTAACTCACTGTAACCTAATATTTTGGCGGAATGGACTTATCTTGGGCATGACTAGATTTCTAAGCATTTCTGCCAACTTCAGAAGGATAACAGTTTAAGGTAATCAACTAACAGTCTTGGGGTTTTTCTTCTTTAACAAAGTTCAAACAATTCAAAATAACTATTACTTGGGCGCCTGGGTGGCTCAGTTGGTTAAGTGACTGTCTTCGGCTCAGGTCATGATCCCGGAGTCCCAGGATTGAGTCCCACATCGGGCTCCCTGCTCGGCGGGGAGTCTGCTTCTCCCTCTAACCCTACCCCCTCTTGCGCGCTCTCTCTCACTCTCTCTCTCAAATAAATAAATAAAATCTTTAAAAAAAAAAAAAAAAACTATTACTTTACTTTTGGAACTTTGGGTTAATATACTGAAACTCAAAACATCATTAAAAATGACAGCCATCATAAATGATAATTAAAGAGAGCATACAGTAACCCCACATAAACATTCTCCATACAAACAAGTGGAAATTCAGAATGCAAATGTGTCCACCAAGACTTAAACTGAGTATGCCTGCCTATGGACAATGAACAAAGGAATACATCAGAATTAAAGGAGCTGTGACAAGGAGGTAAGATCTAGGTGGCTTAACACCTAGCAGAATCTGGGGCTACAGAGCAGATAGTAATGTTTGTTGAATGAATAAGTGAATGAGTTTGCAAGTTCTCTCACACTGCTTTACAATTTCCTTCCTGATGGAAATGCTAGTAGTCTGAAGATTTTAAACTGTCTTTATTCTCAAATATTTCTGGCATGTTAAAAAATTAATGTAACATATCTATATACTCCTGTGCAGCTCAGAAATAAAATTATACAAATAGCAGTTAAAAAAAAAAAACCGTCTTTAGTATAAGCTGGTAATGTTTAAGGATTCAATTCCCCCAAGTATGTTTCCTGGAACACTCATAGAGCAGGATGATGCATGCAAAAAGGGTACCCTGGGTCAAGTACGTAATACTTGGTAACATCTCAGAAACTTGCAGTGCGAGTGTATCAGAGAACCAAAGAGCCCCTAGAGCGAAGAAACCCTTTAACTAACACGGTCATCCCCCAGACTCATCTGACCACAAAGTGCTTTTTTGCACAGAACACCTACTCATTCTGGTGCACAAGGGCAGAGTTAAGAGAAGGCAGAGAGGGACCTGAGCACTGGCCTCAGTCTACAGGGGCAACACCAAAGACAGAAGCCTGCAAATTCTAGTGCGATGCCAGCAGCACAGAGGAGGGGGCTCCCACAGGAACATGTTTTCAGGCAACACCGCCTTCAGAGATCGAAGGAGCAGTATCGATCAAACGACTCCTGACACGTCTGTTGTTGTTGTTGTTGTTTTAAAGCAAGCTTTGTACCCAACATGGTCGAACTCCTGACCCTGAGAGCAACAGTCGCATGCTCCCCTGACTGAGCCGGCCAGGCACACTTTGAAATGTTACTCCACTTCAGTACGATGTAAGCTAAGCAGCGGCCGTGCTTGGGAACAATGAGATAGAGCCCCAGCCCTCTTTCATGGGTTCTTTGGAGACTCTTAATCAATAATCTGTTTTTCCGTAACATACCATCTTTTATCATAGTACAGTTTCCCGTCTTCTATCCGAGCTTCAAACCTCTGGGCTGGAGACTCCGCCGGTGCGGCAGGCAAGTGTTCAGGTGAGGATGGGGATGCTGGAAGAACCAAAGATATGTCAATGACTAAGCGTGTAACAAGCACGTGGGTCTGACAACTAACACGCCTTAACTGAAATGCTATTAAAAAGTGGTACTAATCATGATCATTAAGTCCTTAGGGGTGTAAAAATGAGAATTCAACAAAATTCAAAAAATATTTTGCCTAACCTGCTCCTCAATGCAGCCCTGTGAGGTACGCAAGGCAAAGGATAACCTCACTGAACAGAGGAGAAACCGGGGATGCAGGCAGGCTAAGTGATTTGCCCAAGGGACCATCAGAAGCCCAGAAGGGCAGGAATTAGGAAAATCTCTTTAAAATTTTAAATCCAAAGTCATTTCTAGAACTATTTATTACTAGGTAGAGCTAGCACTACAGTGGGTTCAAAGGATCTAAATTCACACACTTCCATAACCCCCTCCCCATCATGCCTTCAGAAACACGGGGCCTATCTGGGGACCACGGTGGCTCTCAGAAGGAAACTGTTTAGAGAAAAAAGAATCTTGTTTCCTTCCACGAGGCTTGGTGAGTGGACAGACATGTGAGTAATCATGGTGCTTAAAACGTAACAATGCCTTGCCTGTCCAGAATTCTATTTTGCAGCCTAGCACGGACTCTCAAGTGCCACTCTGGAAGGAACCACCGCGAACACCGGGCTGGCCTCTTCTGTAAGCTGGGACTGTTGAGTCCCTCACCAGAGCCAGGCCACGAAGCGCCACCAGAACAGCAGTGCCCAGCGCTTCACTCCACAAAGCAAGTAATACTGAAAAATCCTTCTGGCTTCGTTTCCAGAAATGGAGGTGTACTTAAATCTATGCCTGACGCCTACACAGAAGGAAACCTCTACCAGCCTATCAATCAAATGTCTCTTTTACAAGAAATCAAGGAAAAAGTAAAATTAACTTTAACAGAATAAAAAAAAAAAAGTCAGGGAAGGGGGCACTTAAGGTTCCCTTCAGTATTCATGATGACTACTCCCAGGCAAATGATGAACGTTGTATTTTTGAAAATGGCAACAATTCCCTGTCAGGTGTAAGCATGCTTTTCACACAACATGATAAAAAAGAGTACAAATGGCAGCAACACCGTGCACTTACCTGGTCTCTTGGGTGACTTAAGCTGTAGGAAGAACAACAAGAAATCTTAGAGCAGATCATTTCAGATGCAACGTAAAGTGTCAAAGGTATCAAGAACGATTTAACAAGTAATATGTGAACGACATAAACCTAAGCTTTCAAATACATAAAAAAGAAAAAAATCAAACTGTACCTTATTTAACGTTCTCAGATCCTCCATGATCTGTTCGTCTGTTAACAAATAGTTCAGCTGGGGTGTTGAGAGTTAAAGGAACTTGTCTGAGAAGCATGGCTTCCAAGCAAGCAGAAATCAACAAAACAGTACCAGGCTTTTAGGATTTACAGCGTGACTCTGTCGGATGCTCTTTCTAGAACCATTTGCCTCTCGGAAGTTACTGATTCTACTTGAATGTTGTGGTGCCCAGGTACGTAAAAGAACTCACAAATTTCTTTCAAACATCTCTAAGTCGTTCAGTAAGTCCAAGAATGAGCGCACAGGACACAGGAGGAGGAGAACTTCCTCAATTTATGAAGTGCTTTTGTTCCGAAGATCTGAAGCCTTGCACACGTGTGTGCGCACACACACACAGACGTGGGCTTATTCTTCCCACATAACTTAAACTCTCAGTTGTGAAGACAAAGGAACCTGAAGTTAAACCCTTCCTTGGTGGCAGACAACTGAATCATTTTGTATAAATGGCTACTTATCCTCTCCTCATGAGGACAGAAACAGAATTTTGCCGTGTGTGCCCTCTTCCCCCTCCCATTTTTATGATTAAAGGGCTTTTTTATGTGACTGAAATCTCATTTGCTTTAATTTAACAACTTGCGTTCCACTGTTTTCGGGATAGAGATAACGGAGGTACAAAAGGCAGGTATTACTGGCCTCATTTTACAAGTAGAAAAATTAAGGCATGTGAAATCTGAGGTCGCCCTTGAATCTCCAAATGTTAAAACCATGTTGAACTTGCAGCACGAAGTGCCTTTCCAAATAACTGTTCTCTACAAATTCCTCCCAACAGAGGCAGCAGCAATCGAGGACTCAATAATAAAACGGCCATTCCCAGGGCACCTGGGTGACTCAGTCAGTTAAGCAGCTGACTCTTGGTTCGGGCTCAGGTCTGATCTCGGAGTCATGGGATCGAGCCCGACACTGCGCTCTGTGCTTAGCATGAAGCCTGCTTGGGATTCGCTCTCCCTCTCCCTCTGCCCCTCCTGCTTGTGCTCGTGCTTGCACTCTCTCTCTCAAATAAATAAATCTTTTAAAAAAATTGGCTATTCCCTAGCGCAGGGATAAATACAAATGCCTGCCAATCACATACAATTTCTGTGGGACAATGGCCATGTATATTCTAGCAAACGGATAAGCAAAGCATTCAACAGTCTTAAGAAAAAAAGCAATTAAGGCTTGATGCAAATGGATATCAGGAGCGGGTTTTCTCCTCTTGTCTGGGATGGGGACAGGATCATTTGGTCGCCTCCGCAACTTTCTGGTCATGATGGGTTTCACTTCCATAGAATCTGTGGCAAGAATTGAATGGGTAAATCTATCCAATTCCCACTTGAAGTCAGTAAGAATCGCTGTACTATAAGGGTATCTGCCCCACAGGCACCCAGTCAGAACTGTTTTATTGGGAACATTTGGTTCACACTTGGCCTAAGCCAGACACCCACATCAGACATTAGCGAGGGGGCTGTGGTTAGAAGACTCAGACTGGCTGGCCTAAGTGCAGGCCCCTCTCGGAAATGCAGCTCAGCCGAGCAGTCTACCTGTGGGAGCATCTCTCCAGCATCCCCAAAACTAGAACTTTCCTCCTCTTCCCTCGAATTCAGAAGCCACAGAATGGTAGGCTCTTGGGATCAGAAGGAACCTTTGGATCATCTAGGTCAACCAATTCCTGCTGTTCCCATGGAGGGAGAACTGAAGCGCACTCGTGCACAAGACTTTGAGAGGCCATGGGCCTCAGTGCCAACATCTTTATAGGACAGGTTCATTTACAAACTTGGACTCTTTCATTTTGTTTTATAACCTCTTATAGCTACTTGACTATCAAGAATGATCTAATGAAGGCTTATAATAAAGTCTCTTTTATTCTTCTTAACTTCTCTTTGCAGCCTGACACTGTTGCTGACTCTCCTTGCCTTAAAATCTCCCCTCCCCGAGCCACAACCGTACACATCTCTCCTCTCCTGATCTGCCTCCTTGGGCTCCTTTCTGCTGGTGACCACAGGAGTCCAGTCAGTTTTCAGCCTCTGTCCCAGTGAGTCTCCATCGCCAATGCCAGCTCCCCCAACCTTCTGAATGGCAACCTACGCCCACCAACACCATCCACTCTCAGTGACCCAAGTGACCTCACTTCGCGTCTCACCTCCGAGGGCTGCCTCCTCTCCCGTGTCTCGGGGACATCACATCTTTCCCTTTTTCCCAGCCAGAACAGAATCTGTCATTGTGACTTACCTTCCTTCCCCCAGAAATCATATTCACCAGATCATGGGCAGTTTTGCCGTTAAACCACCTCTCAACTCTATCCCCTCGTCCTATTCTCACCTCCCTCAGAGCCATCTTCCTAAGACACAAATCAGATCATTCTACACATCCCCCTTCTTGTTCAATACTTTTACGGCTCACCACACTCTACAGAAAAAAAGCCAAGTCTCTTTCTGGTCTTGTCCCTCCTTCATTCACACAAACACTGTGTGAGAGCTTCTGGCTAAGTCTCTCACCCAAGGTCACCGCCTTACTATGCCCTCAAGCCTTTACACGTTGTCCCCTCTGCCTGGCCCCCTCTTTTCTGCCCGGCATACTCCTACACAACATCCCTTGAAAGCCAGTTCAATGCTCCCCATCCCATGATGGCTTCCACAGTCACACTATCTTCCAAGCAACCACAGCAAACCTCTGTACAAACCTCTGCTAGCAAGCACCACACTGTATGGGACATTTTCCCCAGAGACACCTGAATTCCACCCCAGCACCTCACAATGGTTCGGGCACACAGGAGGGGCTCCACAGAGTCGTTTCCTGCAGAACGACTAGATGAGGTCAAGCCCGACGAGACCGTTCATTCATGACCATGCACACACTATCAGCACAGCACACAGGACAGCCTTACGGAATTCAAGTGTAGCCCTTCCACCACAGCAACGGGCACGACCTGTGAGTATATAATCATCACGTGGACAAAGTCAAAAGAGACTTCTGCGTGTTGCTCTAAGAAGGGAAATGGGCAACACTGATTTTTTTTACCCCCTATAAATGGAGAAAAAATGATGAGAACCACAGATCTGGTGAGTATTTATTTATAAAGGTGTACGTGGAAGAGGGCGCAGAAGGAAGGAGGACAAACACACTCGCCCCTGAGAAAAAGTGAGGAGGGGAGACAGTCCGTCCTTTCTACAAAATCTCTCACCCTCCGCTGAGCCGGCACTCTTCTCCAGTTACTTACTGGCCATCGGTGTGAATCCCTGCTGCAGCTGTGTGACCTAAGGCGGGCTACGTAAACACTCTGTCTCCACTCTCTTCATCTATAAAATGGAATTATCAGCAACACCTCCCCCACCGAATGTTGGGAGGGATACAGGAGATGATACCAGGAGAGCCCTAAACATGGTGCCTGGTGTAGCAAGAGTTCAATCGATGCTAGTTTTTATTACCACATCTGCAGCCAGGAAAACACTATAGAAAAATCTTTTAGAGAAGTCAAGGTGCAAACAGCTGAATGAAGTTACATACTTGACGACAACCGAGTCAGCTGTGAGGCTTTGCAACATTCACGCCTAATTCGGAAAATAAGGTGTGAAGGGAGCTCACCCAACCCAAAGACCACTAGAGAAAAGCACTTAGCACGGGAGCATCATGGAATGTTCTGTCCACCAAAGACAATGGCCCAGTGCGCCCTGCCCTCTGGGCTGCCAAGTCTGGGGGGTGGGGAGGGTGGGCAATACATGATAGAAGCAAGCCAAGTAAAGGCACAGCTGAGAGAATGTGGGAATAACCTAGTCTAATCATGGCCAATAAGCTCAGAAAGTCGTACCTGCATCACTCACAGATCAGAAAATATAATCAAATTCTTCTTACGAAATAGTGAAAAATCAATCCATTTTATTAGCCTAGCCACCACAATAACCTAATCAATTTTCATCCAAAAGATGACTTCAACAGAAGGAAGGTGCTCTGAAAACGCCTCTGAAATGTACTGGCCTGTCTCCACCACCATCCAGGAGAGGAGTGGGGAGAAGGCCTGGCCAGTGGTCCAGGTGGAAGATGGGACTCGTGGGGAAGACCACCATGTAAGTATCACAGCCCCAAAACTACACAGATTACCTACTCCACTCACTTTGCTTCAACCTCCTGAGCTAGATTTTTCACAGAGAGAAAGGATATCTGACTACCTGGGTCTGAATCCACCCAGAAGTTCCACTTCTCACGAGAAGCAAGAGACTGGCCTTCGAGTTTATAACTTCAGGGTCCTTGGAGTTTGGCGAGAGTCCCAAGGGGCTCAATCTGCGTCCACCACAAAAATCAAACTTCCGGAAGGGACACCCAGACCTTGGAGCATGGCACCCAGGCAGAAGGCACTTAAGCAGGAAATCAGTCTGCCTCGCAGACGAGCCCAACACAACTCTGACTTAAATCGGAAAGCCTCTCGGGGTGCCTGGGTGGCTCAGTTGTTTAAGCGACTGCCTTTGGCTCAGGTCATGATCCCGGAGTCCCGGGATCGAGTCCCGCATCGGGCTCCCTGCTCAGCGATGAGCCTGCTTCTCCCTCTGACCCTCCCCCACTCATGTACTCTCTCTCTCTCATTCACGCTCTCTCAAAATAAATAAATAAATCTTTAAAAAAAAAAAAAATCAGAAAGCCTCTCAGCAAACCTAGGACCCCTCATGGGTTTGCTTCCGTGGGGATACTATCTGCGATCCAACCAAACACCAAACACCGGGGGGCAGGGGGGAGACAGGAGACAGAAACACTGAACAAGTGCTCCTCTCCGAACCACCTCAACTATGTGAAAATCGTGCAAATGCTCCTGCTCTGCTCACCAGCAAGGCCAGTAGGAACAGCCACACCTGGCAGACACGGGCACTCCCCAGTGGCACTGGGCATGCTGGCTAAGAAATGGGCAGAGCCATCACAGCATCGTCCCTATGGAGACATATTCCCGATAATGGTAATTACCATACAATTAGCACTTTCCTGCTGGCCTTGGGTTCCACACTTCTCTGGGCCTAGTCATTCACTCCAACAGCTTACCTGTCTACAGCACACAAATGCAGTAAAAGCTTCACGTGAACACAGTTTAACTATTAAGACAAACCCATACTTGTTTAGCTACTGAAAAAATATCAGTTGCAGTGATTCAAAAGAGCATCCTTCAGAAAAAGAATGTTGGGGCACCTGGGTGGCTCAATCAGTAGAACATGTGACTACTGATCTTGGGGTCATGAGTTCGAGCCCCATGCTGGGCATAGAGATTACATACATAAACAAATAAACTTAAATATATACATATCGGGGCACCCGGGTGGTGTGGCTGGTTAAGCATCTGACTCTTGGTTTCAGCTCAGGTCATGAGATCAGAGCACGGAACTGGGCTCCACAGTCAGTGGGGAATCTGCTTGAGTTTCTCTCCCTCTGATCTTCCTCCCCGGCCCCCCAACACTGGTTTGCACTCTCTCATAAATAAAAAATTAAAAAGGCCACCACAGAGCGACCACTATAGCAGATCGGCAATTACCCCCAAACCAGGCGCAGTGCAACATGGGGCGAACCTAGAGGCCCAGAGCAAAGCCAAGTAGGCCCCTCTCTAAGGGGCTGGCAGGCTCATCAGCATCAGGAATGGCCGCAGCGGGTGCCTGTGGGAGATGGGTGGGGGGAGGTGAGAGAAGAATCAAGGTCAGGTCTTCAGTGACCAACCAGGGTAGGAACAAAGGGCCCCATCTCCCTCAGGCCAAAGCTGTCCAGAGAACAAAGATGGTGTTCAACTGCAGAGAAAACTCACACTCAGGTAATTCCACCTACACCCTCACTACTCCAAGTGTGGTCCAGCCAACAGCATCAGCAGCCCCCGGGAGGCATTTAGAAATGCAGGGTCGCAGGATCCACCCCAGACCCGCTGAAGCAGTAGCTGCACGTCACCAAGACCCCCAGCTGACTCACGCACACACCCAAGCCAGGGGGAGCACTGATGGATAATTCATCCCGGTCTCCTTACCAACAGTACACCTTTCCACCTACACAACCCACTAGGTTCTTCTCAAGCGGTGTGGGCAGTGGAGAGAACCTCCCACCAATTCCCACAGGTCTGCAAACGCTCTCAGTCCTGTTCGGACAAAGCAGGTCACTCGATCTCCCCATTCTCAATGGGTTATTTGGTCTAAGCTTCCCAGCCACGTCTAATTCCAACGCTGTTTTTCGAGAGATCTTCATGTTGAACCAGAAGAGAAGATTTTAAGAAATAGCTTTTCCGGGCAGCACTAGGCAACACTGATACTGGGCATCAATCCACAAAGGTGAAATAAGTCACTCAATGAGAGGAATGCAATCAGGCCTTTACTCCAGCCCCATGGCAGCACCATCTGTGGAAACGCTCATTATCCTTCCAGCTCCACCGCCTGTTCTTCCGACACTCTATCATTACCTTGGCACAGCTTTCCATACCAAGGGTACCAAATGGCTTGAGGAAGGACATCGGTACCTTTAATGCCCATGGCTAACTTTAAACACTGTGTAATCTATTTTACTGCGTAACAAATGACTTCCCTGCATTTATTTGTCTTTTCTACCCTGGCAGGCTCAGCCCCCAGTCACTGGAGGTGCCTCCCGTCCCAGTTAAGATTCTGGCTGCGGGGCGCCTGGGTGGCTCAGTCAGTTAAGTGTCTGCCTTCGGCTCGGGTCATGATCCCAGGGTCCTGGGATCGAGCCCCACCTTGGGCTCCCTGCTGGGCGGGGAGCCTGCTTCTCCTCCTCCCTCTGTCTGTCTCTCTGCCTACTCCTGCCTCCCTCTGCCTGCTCTCTCTCTGTCAAATAAATAAAAATAAAATCTTAAAAAAAAAAAAAAAGATTCTGGCTGCAAAACGGCCTGGCCAAACAATGCCTACTGCTTGTAAATAATCAGGATGCCAAATCACAGGTAAGGTGATGATATCCTTCCCTGCAGATGGAAAGGGAGCAGCTATAAACTGACAATATTTCCCAGTAGCCTAATGAAGACTCCTGAACATCTGGTGGCTCCCGCAGAGCGCGAGGAGGCATCAATGCCAGAGACAGCCACCGTCAAAGAAAACGGTGTACAGGTCAGAACACAGGCAGACTGGTACGGAACAAGGCAGCACAGGGCTAGCGGTCTAATCAACAAAGCGTGGCCACAAGAACAAGACAGTGCTGTCTGAAGAGGCTATTTTAGCATTCACGCTCACCAAAAAAACCATTTCTGAGCCGCCTTCAGAGGCCTTCAAGGAATTAATTTCTTCTGCCGAAGTCTTTCAAGGAGAGAGATACCAGAAGAGAGATTTTTCAAGAATCAGACCCCCCGCCCACTTCAGACACACCACATCATTCTTATAGGTCTCTCGTGGGGGTTGGGGCCAGACGTTTATGTCAACTGAAGGGCCATGTTGGGTCACAGCGCCAGAAATACAGAAGGGGAAATACCACTTCTTAACTGTTTTCTTTAAAGTCTGCCCCCAAGGACTTCACGTGCAAACAGTGCATCTCTCACGGACTGCTACTAAAATCAGACGTGCCAGAGCCGCAACACCTTCTGTACATGGCAGGAGTGAAATCTGGGGGTGCGCAGAAGGCACGTGCTTACACATCCAGGTGACAAACGCACCACTGACTTGTTTCGCAGTATTCGCTGACAAATTTTGCCATGTTCCCAAATATCGAGTTCAGGCCACTCCCCGCCCTGCATCCTTCTAGGATTCATCAGTCTACACACATGGCAACAGAACAGTTAGCCCATATTGCCTCTCCCTTAAACCTGCCTACACCCTGCTGAGTTCCTGGATGCGGATTCCTAAAAACTAGAAGGCAAGGGAGAGAATGGCAGAGTCTAATGTAACTTTACTACCTTCACAGGAAACTAGTTCAGTTTAGCTTCCTCCTGCCAAGTTTGTACCAACTCTGCCTGAAATGTTCACAGTAACACCTGGGGAAGGGATCTAAGAGCACAGATGATACAGTCAAACGCCGCTGTTCTCACATCTAGGTCAAAGGAAGACAATGCCTTTTCTGTAATTAAGGCAGACTGGGGGAAAAAAAAAAAAAAGCAGAGAGATTCCCCCACCCCACCCCCTGGGGTCGTGGATAAGTCATCCGTGAATGGCAGCTGACCCAGGAATTAAATAAAGCATAAGCCAGCAGCTGCAGCCACGACTAAAGATCTACATTTACTGAACATCCATTATGCACAGGGCACTGTGCTAGGCACTCACATTTCTGACCACAATCCTGTAAGACAAGGTCTCATCAGCCCAGTTTTATAGAGGGGGAAATAGGCTCAGAGACATTCAGTGGCTTGACCAAAGTCACACAGCCAATACCAGACAGAGCTTAAACAGGTCAAAGCCCACGCTCCTTTCGGCTGGCTCCGCCCAGAGGAGGAACTGAGTTAGGACAGAGGAGGGACCGCCGCACCCCTCCGGCCCCCCCCCCCCAGGCCTCCCAGGATCCTGCTCTGGGTGCTTTCATACCTCCCGTCAGCTCCATCGTCAGCTTTTCATTTTCGATCATTTTCTTCTTCTCCTCCAGCTCAGCAATCAGGTTCTCTTTCAGCTCCACCTTCTTGTCTTCAAATTCTTTCACCGCTGCCTTCTTTTCTTTAATGTAGTTTCTCTCCACCTGTTCAGTCTGAGCAAAAGAGAAAACACAGGCTAGGGCTCCATGGGGCCCTTGCAGCCAGGGCTCCAACTCCAAGTCTGGCTCTGCACTCAAGGGCCCAGAAAACACCTTTCTGAGAAAGGTGGGACAGCGCCACTCACACGTGCACTGGCAGTAACGGGATGTCTGGGAGCAAGTATCCCAACGAATGCATAAAATTGAACCATACAACTTCTGCTTGTCTTTATGAGCATACCCAGCTTGCTACTCAGTATTTCCTCTCTTCCGCCTCTTACACTGCATTGCTTCTATGTTAAAACTTAAGATTCTCAAAGACAAACTCTTTTAAAGCCACAATTTCAAAGGAAAACAGTACATTCCGGATGAAATACCTACATTGAAAATTAACCGCAATTACAAAATATTGAGTCAGGGTGGCCCACGTTACTGTATTTGTTGATACTGATACCAAGATAAAGATCAACTAGAGTAGAAGATCATCTATTAAGTACCTGAACCCTTAAGTATTCAAACATTGGAACAATACTAAATAAAAAGGCATTCATTTTTTAAATCTCACCACCGTATTAAGAACAAGGGAGCTTATGGTGGGCTATGACTGTGGATCACGTAATCCTGCGGGCTGTGACTACGTGTGTTGCACTGACTTCAGTAGTAAAATGGTTTCTGATAACGTGCTCTGTTAAAGCATGACCTTGTCACACCCATGTGTGGCTCTGATAAAGTCAGGACTCCCCCCACACATACAAACTAGCCACCCCAGGAACAGATTATCATCCAAGATTCAGGCTCTCATTTCTGTACCACAGCACCGTGCTTCACAAAGAACCAACATTCTGGTGTCTGCTGAAGGAAAGGAAAAATGTTAAATCCATCTTTCCTACTGACCCAGACAGCTTCGGCTGTAAAACTGAACCACTGAGCCAATTCAGAGACTGGGCTGCATTAAGGACCGATATAACAAATTATTAAACCATTATAATTCAGACATACTCCCCAATGGCTTTAACGTGAAAGTCAACAAGAAAGCAGTGATGGGTGAGTATCCCCTAGTCCCCTGTGATCATCAAGAGGCTGCCCAACCTATAAATGAATAGATGGGAATTTCTAAACTGAGACCCAAAATGTCCTTTAGTCAAACAAAACAGTGATGAAGGCCTGCAGCTGGGGGCTTCTTAACTGTCCATTTGGTGACAGAAGGAAAGGTCTCTGGATTGGGAGAGCAAGATTCCAGTCTCAGAAAGGGCCTGCAAACCCAGAAGATCCAAGGTACTTACTTCCAGCTGGAGGAAGAGTTCTGAAAGAGATAAAACGTGCAATTAGATTCACTAGGCTGTGTCACCTTTCTAGACAGCGATGGTAGGATTCATTTAGAGGCAGTAATTGCTTTCTGAAAGCATGGTTACACAGAGCAAATGCTTCCATCAGTAAAGTGTTGATATACATGAGGGGGAAGGATGGAAGAAGCACTCATGTCTAGTTAAAATTTGGCCCTGAACAGAATCACTTCCGGCAGTTCTGCCCAAGGGCAAAAGCAAGCAGCAGAAACCAAACTACCCCGGCAATATAAAACTGGAAGCTATCCCTTCTTTCACTCAGTCCATAACCTCCAACAGTCCTACAGGGTAGGATGGGCCAGGAAGGAACAGCGCAGTTACTCCAGAAGCAGACTCAACACTGGTATTTTTAAAGCACGGATGAAGGGCTGTGTGTGGCAAGGAAGGCTATTCCTGGAGAACTCAGAGGGCAGAGGTTCTGTGCCTGCCCGAGGCGTTCTTCACAGGCCACCAAGCCCCCTCGTATGGCTGCTCCTCTACGGCAACGCCCTCTGGGTCTGAATGTAGCCCCTCCTGAGGACGCTTCACTTACCAACCCCCTCCAGACACATCCAGGTGTCCACTGGAGAGTAGTCAACAGCTTATTTATCACCTGCTCTGTGCAGGCAATTAACAATTGTTTACCCAGCAGCTCCCCCATTGCTAGATTATAAGCCTCTCTACAGAGCCAGCCCTGTGAACGAAATAGGTCCATGGCATCTCATCTTGCCTGGGTGACAGTGGAGTGCTGCCTACGTCACACAGATTGCTGGTGAACCAACAACTCCAGGAGGCGCTGTTCACATTTCACCAGTCTCCTTCACAAATGTGATGAAGACTATGGATCTCTTTCCCCCTAAAACAGCATATATGCACATCCACATGTAATTTCATAGAATTTTGAGTTTCAGGACTCCAGATTAAGAATTCAGATCTCAGACCTCAATTAACAGATGTTGAATAAAAAATTTAACTGGGGAGGGGTATCTGGCTGGCTCAGTCAATGAAGCACAGGACTCTTAATCTCAGGGTTTTGAGTTCAAGCCCCACGCTAGGCATGGAGCCTACTAAAAAAAAAAAAAATTTAACTGTGCAAAGGGACAGGACAAGCCACTCATTTTCTAACACCCCTCCCCCCGGTAGCCCTGATCACTCTGGCCCTGGGAACGGCTGAGCACATGAGCCCAGGCACACCCAGCCCAACACGCTCACTCCCACAGGTGCTTTAGATGCACAAATGAACTTGATGCATCAACTGTGTGCCATTCTCAGAAATCACCCCTGCACCAAGTCAAACTGGCAATCACCTCTCAGAGCTGCTGGTCATCGTCTGAGTTACAATAACCAGGCACCAACACAACTAGAACAGGTGGGTTAGCTCTGCGAGAATGTGCTCTTTAAGGCTCAAGCTGGGACTGACTTAGTTCTTCTGCATTCCTACCTGGGGGGCAGGGGAGAGAAATGTTTCTGAAAGAACACGCAAGGACAGGATTGAGAGTGGAACTAAGGCAAATCACTCAATACTCACGCTGCAGTTCTAGCTGCAGAAAAATGGCTCATGTCAATTTACTTTCCTTACTTGCACCTTAAACCAATTCCATGAGGCATTCGTACCCCTCCTGCAGATGGGGAACCTGAGGCTCCAAGAGCAAAACCTGCTTACAGTCATAAGACCTAAAGTGCAGAGAGAAGACCTAAACCTTGGACCTCACCCCTCCACAGTGCACCTCCTTTCCCTGCTGGAGGGCAACACCGAGAAGGCAGGGGATTCCACAGATTCCCAAGGAGATGCCTCGGGACCTCAGATCGCAGTGGGGGTAACCTCAGGGGCAGGGGGGATGTGGGCGGGCAGAAGGCTAATGGCTATTAGTTCCATCTTCCCAGTGCCTTCCACACCCTTCAGCTCCCTTTCTACCTGCTGGTATACACGGGACATCTACTCCCCAGAGGGGGGAAAAGTTCCACCAACAGGAAGCTGGGAAGACACCGGATCAGAAAGCGAGGGGACAGGAGCCTGAGGAATGGCACCCAGACCTCATCTGAAAACCCAGCATTACTTTCACCACCAAAGGAACAGGCACCATGCTGGTGCTCAAAATGCTGGCTGACAAGGAGCTTCCAAATCGAACACTTACGACACATTTCCTGTAAGCCCGGGAATCTGTGTTCACACACTTTGAACAGTCATCACATCTTACTTTTTGCATGACTACCTCAGGATGTTCCTTAACTTTTCCCACATTTAGATGTCTTTTGTCAACGAAATCGCACATTTCCTAAAGTCAAGGACAATGTGTTCCACTACTCCATGCTGCTCAGAGCTTAGATGTAGCAGGTGCTCAACAAATTCTTACTGCATGAATACATTTACCGTGTACAACAAACCAAAGCATTCTCTTCCCCTAAATGCTTATAATACTCGAGGAGAAAAACAAGAGAACACCTCTTCCTCCCGGAGCAGAGGATACCAGAAGAAACAAACTTCAACAAAGAGTGAAACAAGCTACAATTCTTTCCCATGTAGCTCCTCTGATGGTCCATTCAGGCAGCAATGCAGACGTGAGAAAGAATGTGCAAGACCACTCACTGTGGAGGCACCAGGGAGAATAACTGCATGGAGCCACCACTAGTAAGCTCAACTACAGGCCGTTCGTTGGCCACTGGAAAAAAAGATGAGCCAGTTTTATACAACTGTGGCTTTGGAGTCTCTCTTCCCCAAAACTCTCCCCTCCACCATTTCTGAGAATATATGCGTTGCGTTTTAGACAGCAGCTCCTACAGCCACACTATATCGATGATCAGCAAAAGCAAAAACACCTGAAGATGATTTGCTCCCACCTAAGACAGAGCCTCACCTGCATTTCGGATCCTCTCTTTGTACTGCTGATCCAGTTTTTTCATCCTCTTCTGATATTCCTGTAATGTACCTGATTTTGAGATTTACAAAATAAAATGTTACTTTGAAGATCAATCTGCTCTACATTTCAGTTCCTAAAACAGCAGTAACTGTTTTAATACGATCAGAGTAAATAAAACACAAACCAGGGAAAGGCACATGCAAACAGAGCTAACTGGACTCTGGTTCTCAATTAAGGCCCAGAGCAGAAATCACCCCACCTAGTGGATTAAGACTCTCTAGCAAGTGATGGGGAGTAGAAAGGCACAGGCTTCCTCAAGTGATTCTGATCATCTGCTGCTAAGGTTTGAATCAATGGGCCCCCCCTTTCTGAAAAAAGCTCATTCTCGCTCAGTAAGGCCCAGATCAATGCTGTCCAGTAGAACTTTCTCTGCAATGGTGAAAAGGTCCTAGATTTCACTGTCCAATATGGGAGCCACTAGTCATACGTAGCTACTGAGCACTTGAAATGTAGCAAGTGCAACTGAGGAACTGAATTATTAATTTAAGTAGCCACACACAGCCAGTGATAATTCTCAACAACTCAGGTATAGATTTTCACCAAATGTCTACTCATGTCATTGCTTTTCCAAAAAGCAGTGAATTACGAGGGTCACAACTAATGAGAGAAGTATTTCCTGATTATAATGTGTTACTAGGGTGTATTAATGGTATCTTCTTCCAAATCCCTCACTCAACCATGCCAGGTTTGCCCTACAGACTTGCTAGAGTGGAATGTATTTCTTTCTCTGGCAACACTTCCATTATTATGGGGGGAAAAAAACAGAAATAAAACAAAGATGTGTGAATGCAACTCATGCGAACCTTTTTTCACTATTTAGCAGAAATCAATGTCAGATGGCTAGTTCAGGCCATGTAAGGACCTAGTGGAACTTCACTGATGAGGGGGCTCCACAAAGGGAAGCCAAAGAGTTGCTGGCCACAGCTGTCCCTGAGCCCCGGTGCACCCCACAGTGCTAGACACCCTTCACGGGTAATCACATCGGCTTCCACTTTCTGCATTTCAAAGACTGGAAAACAAATTTAAGCAAGAGGAAGTGATGTGCCCAAGGTCAAATTTCCAGAAAGCAGTACAGTTAGGATTCAAGCCCGTTGATGGCCCTCGAAAGCCAATGCTCTTAACCCCAGACTGAACTGCCTTCAGCAGGAAATCACACTGGACAAGATACAATCCACTTTTAACTTATAAAACAAACAATAGAGGACACAATAAAGATAACCCACAGTTCATCAGCATTTAGTTTAGAAAAAAAAATGGTACAGTTTTGTGTATTCTTTGGCAACAACGTCTCTCCTAAAAATGTCTAGCTTTAGGCTCACAGTGGATTTCAGCTCATGCTCTTCAGAAGGCCCTAAGTGGGGATGCCTGGGTGGCTCAGTCAGTTAAGCAGCTGCCTTCGGCTCAGGGCATGATCCCGGGGTCCTGGGATGGAGCCCTGCATCGGGCTGCTTGCTCAGCGGGGAGCCTGCTTCTCCCCTGCCTGTGCTTGCTGTCTCTTTCTCTCGTTGTCAAATAAATAAATGAAATCTTAAAAAAAAGGGCGCCTGGGTGGCTCAGTTGGTTAAGCGACTGCCTTCGGCTCAGGTCATGATCCTGGAGTCCCGGGATCGAGTCCCGCGTCAGGCTACCTGCTCAGCGGGGAGTCTGTTTCTCCCTCTGACCCTCCCCCCTCTCGTGCTCTCTCTTTCTCATTCTCTCTCTCAAATAAATAAATAAAATCTTTAAAAAAAAAAAAATCTTAAAAAAAAAAAAAGGCCCTAAGTGAGGGTTCAAAAATATTTGAAAAGCACCACTTTACTGATAGCAGAAGATAGCAAAGTGCATGCTGGACAGCTGAATCAGCCAGACCGAATTTTAAGTCACTCCCACAGGGGAGTGAAATACACAGATTTCAAAGGCTTGCAATATTAAATATATTTAGAAATGAAGGATTAAACCACACACCAACCTTCCTGCAGTTGTTGCAACTGTCTCTTGAGAGAAGCCAGTTTATCCTGATACATCCTGCAAAGAAAAACAACAAAAGCCACACTGAAAGACAGAAACATTCAATACTCGATTCCAAAATCATCCCACACACAGGAATTACCTGGGTTGTTATGGGAATGTCATTAATGTCCTTTAGGAGACAGAGAAAACTGAAGTCGGCCAGCTGGTTTAAAATGTACCACCAGCTAAAGGGATCAGAAAGGGACAAGGATTCTGTGTTCTTGAATTATAGCCCAATTCTGCAGATTCTCTTGTGTTATCCCACCTTTAGAGAATCAGTCTGAAATCTACAAATATGAAGACATGCAGATTTTAATAAGTGACGATAAACAGGCAAGAAAATACAAACAAAAACTGAAAGTGTGATGCCATTTTCTTATGGATTTAGAAGTAACACACACGAAAATGTAGCAAAGGCATTAAACACAGCAGCTCTTCTATCAACTCTACAATTAGATTATTAATTCCAAAGGAGTAAGATTATGCCTTTGGCACGTTTTTCTATGTAGATAGCATAGCTGTGTAAGCATCAAGTTAATCAACTTTCATGTCATTTTTTAAAAACACTACTCTTTTAGAATCAGAGAAATAATATTCAGTAACAAAAGTTAAAATGCAGGATTTATTTGCAGCCCCAGCTGGTTAAGAACATGCAGCACACACAAAGCAAAAGCGCCTAGCATGTTATTCCCCCCCTCCCCCCCGCCCCCGGACACCAAATGGATCATATGCAATTGTACACTCCGGCAAGTCTGTTTAAATGGTGGATTCCACAAGTAAATCTTATTTCAACAGTATTTCTGCTTCTACCTGGAAAACACCCCCAATTTTACAGTGACAAAAACAAGATTTGCAACCTGAATGAACACTGTCCAACAAATAACAGGCACAATAGCTTTTTGACTGCTCCAGTAAGGGCTGTAAACACAACCCAACTATTTACACAGACTGAGGAGAGAGTGGGCAGAATCTGGGAATTACACAGGAGGTCTGATCAAAAGATCAATGAGAATTCTGATGTACTCTCAACACTCACCTCGAATCACACAAGGCATTCAATTTTAATCAAAAATTTTTCTGTATCCAGTATTAAGGGGCACGTTCAATTAAAATATAATCTCAAAAGAATGCTTAAACATGCCAAATAGAGGAAACAGATATATAAGCTGCACACAGTAAGTCAGTATTTAGAACCCAGTGTATTCAATTTTCCACCACATCGAATGCGGTAAACAATGCCTTTGACTTCCGAGTCTGTCTTTGAAAGGGAACATTAACAGATTGAAAAAATAAACAAGCGGAACAAATTCAGATTTGGGAAAAGGAAAGGTATGTGGAAATGGTTCAAGGTAAATCGGTAAAAAGCCTAAAGAGAATAAAAATAAAAAGCAAGCACAGTTTCAGGAATGAAGCTGTGAGAAAAAGCACATGAATTATTAAAGTAATCCTTCTTTATTCAGCATCGCTGGAATTTAGTTGAATTACCCCTTTGGGTTCCAGAGCTTGAAAAGGGTAACAGAATCCAGAGGATGGTCACGAACCATTTGCAAATAGGACCTATTAAAAAAGGAACGTGGATCATCTAGTTTAAAGATAAAAGAATTTAAAGTCAAATCAAGATCCTCAAAATACACTCAACAAATACATGTGGGATCTATTTTATACAGTCTTGCATCCGTGTTTACAATAAAAGTGAGTGGTTTTCGTTCTCTGGGCACATTTAGAGAAGGCTCGAGCAGGGATGTATGACAAGTGCAAAGAGCACTGGAGCAGAGTCAGGAGCCCTGCTCTCCAGTCCAGCTTTCCCTGAGCTCTCCAGGCAGCTAGCACACCATCAGCTCTCGGAGGGGTCACCCCCATTTGAGAACCAAATAGCTATGACACACCGTTTACCCTGAGCAATAGTTTTCACATTTAAACAAAACCACAAAAACAGAAACACGAAGAATTGGGAAACAGTTCTCTCCTAATATGTGGCCTTATTTTCCTGGGATCATTTCCCTCAAGGCTCTTCCTAGCCAATGCTCAAAAGATTCTTTTAACAGGAAGACCAATTACACATGACAAATTTATAGGGGGAAACTAAACACATACACATGGACCTTGGACTCTCTATGGTCAAAACCATACACACAAGGTCACGGTCAAGATTTCCTTGTCAATTCTGTATTCCAAACAAGAAATATAAGAATCATACTCACTGTTCCTTCATTTCTACATAGTCCTCTTCATCATGCTTTGCCAGGTCAGTTTCACTAGCATCTTCGGTGTCTAAGTAAAATCAGGGAAGAAAAGTCTGTTAAAATCATAATTCATAAAATTGCTATCACCTGACGAAGTGACACTTAAACTTCTGTAAAATGAACACAGGCCTGCGGGAAGCCATCAGTGAAAAATATTAGTTACTTTAGGAAAGAAAATGCCATTTTCAACTTAGACATGGCCAGACTTATGCAAAGAGCTGCCTTCATCCGAAGTGCCACCGCCACCAGAGAACAGGGTCCATGAGAGGTAGGCAGTCATGGTCAAGGCTGCTACTCCTGCAGAAGCCACAACGGCAGTTCAGGAAACGGTGCTGTGAGTGTCAGACAGGACAACTAGAGGCAGCGAGGTCTTGCTCACTGCTCCGAGACCACCTAGTAAGTCCATTCTCTGCTGGTCTACGTCCTTAACAGATTTTACATCACATATACACAAAGGAGAATCCAAACCAATGAAGTGAAGTATTTTCACAAAGTTACAACCAAAGGGAGAAGAAAGGACACAAGGTGATCAAACACAAAGTGTTTCAGAACATTTTAAACATTGTTCTTAAAGTAAACGACGGAGTGTCTACATAATTTCAACAGCCCTGCTTGAGAAAGGATAAAGATCAATTTTGGCTTCGCCGCTCCCCCTTGTGGACATTAAGAGCAGTTACAAGTGTTTCACATTCAAAGTCCCGGGTTAAGCCCCGTCTTCAAATGCAGTTTAACCAAACGCAATTAGTTCCTTCAACTTTATTATCTGCACATGTCGCCGCCTTTTTAAAGGCTACTGCAGATCCAAATCGTCACAAGCCTTCTCCTCTTTCAGTCAAGAAACCTTCACTGAATTCCTGTCATATGCCAGCCACTGTACTTGGCACGTGGGGAACTGAGATGAATAAAACATATTCCTCATTCCAGCAATTAGTCCAACCATTTGCTCCACAGCCTTATTCTGTGCCAGAACAGTCCACCCATATATCGGTCTCTATCTCCTCTTTCTCCTCCCGTGTCCTTTTATGGGTTTTTTTTCCCCCCACCTCTCTCCTCCTCCGGTAGCTCCTTCCTCAATCCTTCCAAACAGTCTTCCTCACACTTGCCAAACTATAAACCCCAGTTTGAAAAAAACTGGGCTTTGAGGCAGTAACGATAACGCAAAGAGCGTGGAACTGAAAACACAACACCTGGGCACCATTAAGCCAATCCCTATCTTCCCTGTGCCTGCTTCCCCGGTGCTACAAAAACACCTACTGAGCACCAGACCAAGTACCTTACGCACATCTCATTTAATCCTCACACCTACGCTCGGAAGCCCCATTACAGCCGGGGAAACTAAGGCTCGCAAGCTTAGGTAAGTCTAGGGTCACAGAGCTGGGTTCAGGGAGCCAAATTCAGACCTAGATCTGGCTGATTCCAGGCTCCGTTCTTTTAAGCAACCTGAACTGCGCCACCCAAAGGAGGGTTGCCTAAAGCATTTCCTCGGGGTGAAGGGTCCGGGGGGAGCAACCTGGGAACCTGGAAGCCAAACTGGGCTTTGCTCCGATCCTCTCCGGAACTAAAAAGGGGGAGAGGTGCTGAAGATACTCAGTGGAAGGCTTTCTCATTCCAACCAGGAAAGACCTGAGGTTCACCAGAGACGGTTGAGGGAAGAGGGACAGCAGCTCCCCAAGTCCCTCCTTCCCGTAACTGTTAGGGTACGACGACCCACAGCGGCCCCGGGCCCAGCGCAGGTGGGGGTAACTTCCTGGAGCCGTGCACGTCCCAGCGGCCCCTTCAAGCCTCCCCCAGCCCCGGAGGTCGCCCCGCCCCGCTCCGTGCAGCCCACTCACTCCCTCTTCGGTCCCACCCCCGCCCCGGGCCGCCGGGCCAGCCAGACGACGCACCTTCATCGGACTCGCGGCCCCGGCAGCTGCGCTCGTCGTCCTCGGCGCTCTCCAGCTCTTCGTCCTCCTCGGGGTAGTACTCCGGTGCCGGCGGTGCTCCAGCCGGGGCCGGGGCCGGAGCCAACAGTCCCGCGGCACTCATGTCGCCTCCGGCCGCGGCTGAGCGTCTCAACCAGCGGCCGCGGCCGCGCGCCCTGCGGACTCGACGCCCGCCTAGCAGCCCCCGAGGGAGCCGCCAACTCGAAGAGCGGGAGCCGCGCACGTCGCGGCGACCCCTTCCCCGTCTCCGCCAAGCTCCGCCCCGCGCGCCAGCTCTCGGCAACGGGGGCCTCGCGCCGGCGGCGACTTCCGGGTCGCGAGCTGCCCGAGGCCCGCCTGACTCCGTCATCCTTGAGGAGGTGGAGAGGCCGCCGGACGCCCCCTTCGTCTTAACCTCGGCCCTTTCATGCCGTCTTTAAAATCCTCAACGGGTAGTGGGGAGGGGCGGAGACAAGTTCTCTAGAATTAGGCAAATCCTTGGACAGACCTGGCCGCGGCTAGGACCCCGAAGCTTGCAGGCGACTTCTGGAAACAGCCGCCAGGCGGCGCAAGGAGCCAGAACTAAAGCGAGGATCCTTAGCGACCTGAGAGAGGCGGAAGGGTTGAAGGTGGTCTCTCGTTGACATAGGTGAACGACATGAACCATCCCCTTTATAGGCTGGGAAACGCTGACATCTCGAATTTTCGTGATCATCCCCCAGAGCCTAGCTCCTCCCCTAATTGGAGCTTTATTGAGAACTAAAAGGCAAGGCTGTTGAGAATTCCATTCTGGGGTCCGCAAAAGGGTGTTTTCCCAGTCGGTGGGAGTCTTTTCTGTTTGTACAGTTGTTCTCAATAAGGTGTTCTCCCGATTTTACATATGAGAAAAGAACATTTACCTAAAAAATGGTAGCGTCCAGGCTGCCTTGTTTACACGATCACACGCAAGCGCTGTACATTACTGCTGCCTCATATTTCTTAGAATATTAATTTTTTAAAAGGTGCTTTTCCCCATCCAATAACTTGCTAACAACTCTCAACTGAGCAAGCGGAACATTTGCCTGCAGGAAGTTAATTAAACTAGCATAAGGAAGGTGCTATGTGGAAACTTAGAAAACAAGAGAACTGAATACCTGCATGAATTAATTCATGTGATTCCTTCTAAGTAGGAGACGCTGTGTTATAAGCTTTACTTAATGAACGAATTTAGGATGTCCCTTGTCTAGTTGTGGGTAGTGAGATAAGGGGTAAGGAAAAGAGCCTAGGATGTTTGTTTGTTCAAAGTAACCCTGCCCCCTTTATGTTGTATCCAAGTCGCCATAGAGTAACTTTTTTTTTTTTTAAGATTTTATTTATTTGACACAGAGAGAGACAGCGAGAGAGGGAACACAAGCAGGGGGAGTGGGAGAGGGAGAAGCAGGCTCTCTGCTGAGCAGGGAGCCCAATGCGTGGCTCCATCCCAGAATCCTGGGATCATGACCTGAGCCGAAGGCAGACACTTAACCCGACTGAGCCACCCAGGTGCCCCGGAATAAGTAACTTCTAAGTAGTAAGGTTGAACACAGATCTAAAAGCCAGGTGGACCCCAGTATCCTGATCCTTTGTGACCAAACTCCTCTCTGAATGGGACCCCAGAGTCTTCTCAAAGTGAAAAAAAATATGTGATTTATTTCAACATTTCTTATTTTCTACCTTGTCTTAATGAAAATCTTGGCTCTTTGTGGGAGATTTTTCCACCCAACAAACCTCAACAATTTCCAAAATGGACTGCTGCAATGTCTTTCCATGAGTTCAGAGATCTTCTGAAGCTCCTTCTAAATAAGAGTCATTCTCAAGGCTCACTGTAGGTCCACCATCTGTATTTAAACTAGGATTTTAGAACTGCCTCTTGCCCAAAGGATGAAGTCATTTCTACTTTTATTTTAGAACACATCTAAATTATTTGTAATCAGCTATATTGAGCAACTTGGGTTTCCATCAGAAGTAATAATCTTAGACCAGAAAAGGTACCAACATTTTAGAAATTACAGTTCATTGATATAATGAGTCAAAAAAAAAAGATTTGACTTCATTGCTCAATGGTTTCTTCAAGACATGGAATTTTTATCTCACTTATGTTTTCTTTCTACTTGATTGCAAATAACATCTGTTAATGGTCATACCTTTCTTTTTTTATATGAATAGACACAACTGACACTGATAGTGAAAACTTAACTCCATTTCTTCAATCCATATTCCCAACTGCATTATTGGTAGGATGAGCTCTTAACTAATATATGCTCTTTAAGAGAAGGAGAACCTAGTCAAAAAAAGGTCTGTCATAACTTTAGTCTTACCTAACCTTTATAGTTGTTGAATATAATAATTTTGGGGGCTCCTGGTGGCTCAGTCAATTGAGTATCCGACTTGGTTTCGGCTCTGCACTCAGCAGGGAGTCTGCTTGGGAGTCTCTCTCCCTCTGCCCTTTTCTTACCCCTTCTAAATTAATAAAATCTTAAAAAGTATACATATATATATGTATTATAATTTTGGATAATCTCTCTAGGCCTGTAAAAATTAAGTTCCCCCAGAATTACCTTGAAATCTCTCCCCATCCCTTTCCAAAATGCCAGTCAGCACTGCTCAGGAGCCACCTACTTCAGAACTCAAATGAGGTCCTGCCAGCCTCATTTCCACATACCCTAACACCCAAATTTAAAGGGGAGCCCTGCCATTGGAATGGAGTATCATTATAAAGCACTAGGGAAAACACGTAGAGCGTTTAGGACACAAACTCTTGTCAGCAGGAGTTCACACAAGAGTTAATGATGGAGAGTTCTCTGAGAGCCAAGTCCTGTATACATCTAACAAGGCTTAGCATCAAATTGTGTGCCTAGGGCGCCTGGGTGGCTCAGTTGGTTGAGCGACTGCCTTCGGCCCAGGTCATGATCCTGGAGTCCCGGGAGGCTCAGTTGGTTGAGCGACTGCCTTCGGCTCAGGTCATGATCCTGGAGTCCCTGGATCGAGTCCTGCATCGGGCTCCCTGCTCGGCGGGGAGTCTGCTTCTCCCTCGGATCCTCCCCCTCTCATGCTCTCTATCTCATTCTCTCTCTCAAATAAATAAATAAATAAATAAATCTTAAAAAAAAAAATTGTGTGCCTAACATGAAACAATTTCTTCATAAAATGCTGAATTGTCAAAGTCTGTCAACTTTGGGGTTTATGAGTAAGAGGAGCAGTTTTCAGTTTCTGGTATTGACTTAACATATCCAGCTTCAAAAAACATAAAGAATGGGGCGCCTGGGTGGCTCAGTTGGTTAAGCGACTGCCTTCGGCTCAGGGCATGATCCTGGAGTCCCGGGATCGAGTCCCGCATCGGGCTCCCTGCTCGGCGGGGGGTCTGCTTCTCCCTCTGACCCTCCCCCCTCTCATGCTCTCTGTCTCTCATTCTCTCTCTCAAATAAATAAATTAATTTAAAAAAAAAAAACATAAAGAATGGCTCTGAGTAACACGATGATGCACTTCTACCCCCGGCAGACGAGTCTCTGATTGTCACAGGTTGCACTTTGGCCATCAGTTCACACAGAATCTTTAAAACATTGGCCCTGAAAAAAAAAAAACGAATATGCTGACCAAGCGCACCGAAGCCTACCACACAGTTCCTGTTCCTACTGTCAAAATGATTATCAAAACCCACAAACTGATTATTTCTCAAGTTTCGTCCTTGGGCCTATCAAAAGGAGCCCCGGGGGTGTTGAATGCTTTACTTGCTCCCAGTTAAAGATTTTTCCCTCCCAACATGAGACTGACGTCTGTCGAACGCAATGCAAGGGCAACTCCCTGGCCAAAGATGTAAAAGAATTTAAATCCAGGAAATATTTACAAGCCCGGAGTGAATACATGCTGTATTAACTGATGGCATCATTACTTAGGGAGCTGAGCAAGGACGGAAGAATGGGAACCTCCTCAAAGGCTCTCACACGGTGGTCCCCGGGAGTCCCAGGGGGCCTTGGCCTCTGGGAGGCTCCCAAGAAAAGTAAAGGCGCAGAGGAGTGCCATGAACTTTGACCCCAGCGCAGCACAAACAACGCCGACCGCACCCCAGGCGGGCCCGCGGGGTAACTGAAGTTGCAGGGTCTTCCGCGTCTGAGGAAAGCCCGCCCCCCCCGCCCCGCCCACCGCCAACTCCGCCCCGCCCACCGCCAACTCCGCCAATCCTCAGGCGCCATCGACCGCTCGGCTTCCCAGGCACCTCCAATCAAGTACCTATATCCGGCCCCATGCCTGTGCCCCGCGGTCAGGGGAGGTCAGTAGAGAGCCTATAGGAGCCGGGCTGGGGGCGTGGTCGGCGGCAGGGGGCGGGCGAACTGAGACCGCGGGGCGGAGCGCGCTCGGCGCAGTCGGGTGCGATTGGCCACCCCTGGCAGGAGCCGCACCTCGGACAGCAGCAGCCGCGGCCGCGGGAGGGTCCTTGTGGCGCCCGGCGGTGACGGCGGCGGAGTCCTGCGTGAGAGTGGGACCCGACACCGAGACCGCGGACGGAGGCTCCGCGTGGCCGGACGCGACACTCAGCGACCCGACCCCGGGATCCTCCGGGGGACAAGCGGCAGAAGAGCGACTCGGGAACAAGTGTGGGAGAGGAAGCGGCGGCGGCGACGCCGGGCCCGGGGGTGGTGACAGCAGGTCTGAGGTGAGAGCGCCGGGGCGCGGGACGGTGACAGAGTGAGCCGAGGCAAGAGGACCCTGGGCGGAGTGAGGTCGCGGAGGACTCGAGTGACGGGAGTCCGGGAGCGGGTTTGTCCCGACTGGGGAAAGAAGACCCCGAGAGGGGCCGGGATAGCGGGTCTGAGCGGGAACCTGGAGAGGGCTTGGGACAGCGGGTCTAGGGAGAGTCCCCGAGAGGGCTTGGGACAGCGAGTGTGAAGGGAGAAGACCCCGAGAGGGCTTGGGACAGCGAGTGTGAAGGGAGAAGACCCCGAGAGGGCTTGGGACAGCGGGTCTACGGAGAGTCCCCGAGAGGGCTTGGGTCAGAGGGTACGAAGGGAGGGGACCTCGAGAGGGGCCGGGACAGCGGGTCTGAAGAGAGGGGACCCCGAGAGGGCTTGGGACAGCAGGTCTACGGAGAGTCCCCGAGAGGGCTTGGGTCAGAGGGTACGAAGGGAGGGGACCTCGAGAGGGGCCGGGACAGCGGGTCTGAAGAGAGGGGACCCCGAGAGGGCTTGGGACAGCAGGTCTGATTGGGGAACCTCCCAAGAGGAGCCGGGACAGAGGATTTAGGGGAAGTCCCCGAGAGGGTTGGGGACAGCAGGTCTGAAGGAAGGGGACCCCGAGAGGACTTGGGACAGCAGGCCTGCTGGGAGGACCCCCCCGAGAGGGGTCGGGACAACAGGTGTGAGGGGGACCCGGAGACGGGTTTCGGAGCGCGCGAGTGGACGTGGAAGGGGGGAGCCAGCCTGGGTCGGGGTCGCTGCGCCGGGCGAGTCCGGACTGCCGGCAACGCACAGCGAGGGGAGGCGTGCTGCTCGCTCCTAGGGTCTGCAGTCAGCCGCTCTCCCCAAAGGTGGTGTGTGCGATAGGGGACAGCCCGAGCCCCCGTGACCCTGTGGGTGACTCCGTGGAGCAGGGATTATGTAATGAAACCTCTCCTAAGCAGAACGCAAGGGCCGGAGGGTCTGGCAGAAGCGCAGAGATCTTGGCGAGAGCGAGAGACCGGCTGCCCGACCTCTCTCCTCACTGGCCCCCTGGCTTCTGATGTGTTTCTCCGAGTTTGGCATGGATGCCTTGAAAGTGAGGGGCTTCCTGATATTAATACCTTAACGAGGACGTGAGAAGTTGGAGAGGGCTTCTCCAAGCCACCACAGGCCCGTTGAAAGGGAAAGGGATCCTTTTGGAGACCCATGTTTTGGATTAATTGGGATGGTGATGGTGACAGACCCTGTATTTTTCATTTCAGCTCAGGGAGCTGAGAAAGGTTTCAAGATTTGGCAGCACTTTGGTATTCATGCTTACAATGCAGATTCAAAGGAGCTATACACTAAGTTTGTTTAACTTTGATGTGTTGGAGATAGTTGGGAGGTCAAACTAAATGTTGGAAGGAGGTATTGGAGTGGCTAAACTGACAGCACTTTCCAATTAGATTTCTCATCCTAAAAGCTACCAGGACTGAGCTTTAGGCGTGATTCCAGGACAAGCTAAGGAGAGAGATGAGCCTATTTAAACCAGACACTGTGTCCTCGTAGGAGGCAAGTGTGTGTCTATTAAAATGCTGAAACAGGGCACCTGGGTGGCTCAGTTGGTTAAGCGACTGCCTTTGGCTCAGGTCATGATCCTGGAGTCCCTGGATCAAGTCCCACATCAGGCTCCCTGCTCGGCAGGGAGCCTGCTTCTCCCTCTGACCCTCCCGACCCTCTCCCCTCTCATGTGCTCTCTCTCTCAGTCTCTCTCTCTCAAATAAATAAATAAATAAATCTTTAAAAAAAAAAATGCTGAAACAAATAGTGGAAAGCTGGAGGGGGTGGGAATTGGGGGGTAGCCTCCTACTCTGATGGATGTGAAAATTAAATTAATGACCAGGCTAGTCGTTCACAGTACTTAGGATACTGCCCTGCCTACCTTTCAAATGTTCTCTTGAATGCACATGCTTTGTTAACAGTTGGACCCAGCAGTTTCTGCATTTGAATTTTTTAACCTTTTTCTCTGTGTGTTGCTCCTCCTCACCCCTTCTCTTCGCAACTAGTTTCTTTTTTAGAGGAGCAGACTTAGAAAATGATGGTTTGGGAAAAATAAGGGGGAATGTCATTATCATTTCACAGTTACTTAGGTATCTTCTTTGTTTCTGGTTTAGAATATGTCTTTTTAGAAGCTTTTGCCCTTGTATAGTAATGGGCAGCTTCAACGAAGGGGAAGAAAGAAATGCTGCTTTATTTTCCGAAGACATAATGGAGAAAGCTTACATAGAACTGCCTATTTAAATCAAAGACAAACATTTTTAAAGTCATTTTCATCAGGGTGATAGTAAGTAGAGGACATGTGTCATTTGGGGATTTTATTTGATATTACCTGAAACAGAGCAGTTCCTATATGACTTCAGAGAGTGTGGAGCTGCATCTGGTTATGAAAACCCCACCAACTAGAAGTCCTCCCCTAAGAAAGGGAGATAAGAAGAGCAACAACAGGGGGCACCTGGGTGGCTCAGTCGTTAAGCGTCTGCCTTCGGCTCAGGTCATGATCCCAGGGTCCTGGGATCGAGTCCCGCATCGGGCTCCCTGCTCGGCGGGAAGCCTGCTTCTCCCTCTCCCACTCCCCCTGCTTGTGTTCCCTCTCTCGCTGTGTCTCTCTCTGTCAAATAAATAAAATCTTTAAAAAAAAAAAAAAAAAAAAGCAACAACAGCAAATACAAATTTAAAATACGACACTATAATTTATTTAAGATGTATTAAGTATGATTTTTTATGCTAAATTTATTTTTCCAGAACTCTAGGTCAAATTCAAGTAAAAACTAAAGTCAGTTAATTCAAGAGGTTATTTACAAAGGGTATATATTCATTATGTAGTGCACATAACTTTTGAAATGGTCTGTGGAAGGTTTGGGAATCTCAGTACCAGTAATTCTACAAAGTAATAGAAATGTTTGAGCAGATAAGCTCTTTGATCATACTTGTTAGCTCATTTCTGACTGGTACAAATGGTAGTTTCTTAAGACAAAACATAAATTTTAATTCCTTATAAGAAAAGAAAGTGTTCTAATACTCCCCGGAGTGGTGACGAAAGCAGTCATTTCAACCACATTACGTTATGGTATTGATCCAGAGATGATGAAGGGAGATTCATTGTAATAGAATTTTCAGTGATAGGAGGGGCCTATAGTGACTTTTTATTCCTTGGGGTGATGAGTGGGCGGGTAAGAGGGTAGGAATTGTGTGGGAATTTATTTTCATTTGTTTCACAAAATAAAAGTACACCATGAGAAACTATAAGTATGTGAAGACATTTTGCCTGTGCTAATTTAAACTATTTCTTTTCAATTAAAAAAATATACTGAAAAGAAATTAAGAAGGCGCTTTCCGCTTCTATATAAATGGTTATAGCAACAACAGAATGCAAGTCCTTTTGGTTTGGAGTTCTTAAACTGTACTTACTCTTGGTTTAGTGGGTACAAATACTACCCTGTAAGTACAATAACCCATTTTGCCCGTTCTTTACCACTTGAGTCATATACAGTCAAACCATTGTCATCTCAGAGTATACCTTGATATCTAATTTGGTTTAATGTTTAAGCCACTCTGAATAAAAGTTCTCTTTGCTTGCCAGTGTGCATATTTGTTGGTTTCAGTAGTATAGAAGAATGAATGAAACCTATTGGTACTTTTATTTTAGAGCCTCCATTAAAAGGCTCTTTCTTTCATAATCTTTTCCTCCAGCCTTTGTTTCTTCCCTCCCCCCAAAAGAAAATAGACTGACAGACAGACAGAAAGCTTCCACCCAAAAGTGTTTTGTGACTCTCCTAGGGGAAGACTGCTTTTCAGTCTTCAATGAGATTCAGTGAGCTCATCTTCATTGATTCTTTCAACCAGTGAAGACAGTTTTGAATTAGTTCTGAGTTGTGAGATATTGTACAATTGCAGTTCAGCATAGGGAGTTTAGATTGTGATTATTTAGCTTTATCATCCATTTAATTGGTTGCTTTGTTATTTATGAAGATTGGTTAAAAGTTTGTTACTGTTTCTAAAACGCAAACTGAGTAAAAAAAAGAACAACAAAAGGAAAAACATAAGTGGCATCTATCAGTCTGGCTGTCCTTATAGATTAGATATATTGAGTTTATGGGCCAAAATGTTATCTAACTCATTTCTAAACTACACGCATCAAATTAAAAACAACAACTTTTTAGAATTTTTAGGATAACCAGCAGGAATTAAATTGATCATTCTAGCTATATGTTATTAATTTTACCTAAATATTTTATGAATCAACCTAATGTGTTTTTTCTCTGTCTAACTTGAGATTTGTTAGAGACATTGAATCTAAATTATTTCCATTTTACAACAGAATGACTTAGGGGTCAGTTTCTTGATTTGTTAACACAGATCAGCCTCCTAACCATTGTCAGCTATCCCATGCATACACGATTTTCATCCCCAAAGTGAGTGAGAAAGAGATTTTGCCTTGGAAAAGACACTTTATACCCAGGAAAACCTACTCCCATTAAACAAAGAGGTGTAGCCCATGTGGCTGTAGGTACCAACACTGAGAATTTACGTGCTGGTGTCTAGGCTTTGGGGCCCTTCCACTTAACTCTAGCCTCAGTGAAATGATGGATAGCAAATTCAACCCCACAATGTACATTTTGTTACACTTAATATTTTAGTTAATTATCAAAGTGCAAATTGGAAGACCTCAGTTTTACTTCCATCCACTATTTCTGATGGACAAATGGGATAACCCTTTATCTCCAGGACAAACTAGGACTCTGGGCACTATATATTTATTTTTATATGTTTCAGCTCTGTCTAATGACAGAGGCTTATGTCCACAACAATCAAGGCTTATGACAATTCAAATAGATATTATTTACCCATTACAATAGATGGCACTAATCAAGGCAGAATGCTCTCTTACATAAATAACCTAATTAGTCTTGGCAGTAGACACACAGAATCGTAGATTGTGGCCAATTTTCCATTCTGTTGT